CCAGGACCCTGGGATCATGACCTGAGCCGAAGGCAGACGCCCAATGACTGAGCCACCCAGGCGCCCCATCAAATTGTACGCTTTAAATATGTGCTGTTTATTGCATGTCAATAAAGCTGTTTAAAAAAAGAAAATTATAGCGCTTGGTTGATAACATACTGTGTGGAGGAGTTTCGAAGTGAAGTAGTGACAGGTCAGTCCCCATCTAGGGGATGGCACTTCTCTGGTGGTTTGCAGTGCAGGTGAGGCCAAGGCCCACCACCCCGTCCTCACAGGCCATTTTGCCTTCCACAAGACTTCCCATCTGTATGCTGGAACCTTTGGTCAGTCAATGGTAAGTAGGTGCCACGGGCCCAAATAAGACAGAGAGAAAGTGAACCCACTGGGCGTAGACTCCCCCCTCTGCCCCCACCGTGGGTGCACCCTCTTTTGGGAAATCCTCAAAGCCTATATCCTTCCATGAGCTTCTGACAGCAGCATCCTCAGGGATGGACTGTGAATCAACTCACTGACCTCTAGACAACTTGGTCCCTCCCTCTTCATCAGACTTTTTGCCAGCTGCCTTGAATTGGTTTTTCAGAAGCTTGCCCCATCTTTCTAGAAGATCGTACCCCAACACATTTCCTTTTTGCCATGGCTGTTGGGAAGCTCACAGTCAAGAATGGTGTCCAACTGTAATGGTTAACCCATTCTAGGTGCCTAGTACCAGTTAATTTCTTGCTCCTTTCAGCTTGTTTTTGTTATTGATTGATTTCTCTCTCTCTCTCTCTTTTTTTTTAAGATTTTATTTATTTATTTGAGACAGAGAGGATGAGATAGCAAGCGAGAGGGCACAAAGTGGGGGGCAGAGGGAGAGGGAGGAGCAGGCTCCCAGCTGAGCAGGGAGCCCGATGCGGGGCTCGATCCTAGGACTCTGAGATCATGACCTGAGCCGAAGGCAGATGCTTAACCCACTGAGCCACCCAGGTATCCCTATTGATTGATTTATATATTTATTTTTTTTTTAATTTTTTTGTTAAGATTTTTATTTATTTGACAGAGAGAGACACAG